GTAAGAAAGTGTGGAGGGAAATGCTGTTTGAGTTATAATATTGTGTTTGGTAGTCTACTCATACTGCCGGTCTGATTTAATGCATTGTAACACACACATCCTAAAGCCATAAGGGACTAGTGTGAACGATTTATGGCATCTAGTTATGAAATTTCACATTTCAGCCAACTGAATACCTCTCAGCCTTCCAGGCGTGTAGGAAAAACTATGGTGGCCTCAAAACCCGCAGGTTGCTTTTTCTGTTCTGGGCTACTGTAGAAACATAGTGGTTCAACGTGGTGGCCGCTGTGGAAGAGGATCCGCTTCCTCTGTAGATAAAAACTATTTTATTTAGTCTAAGGTGATATTACACACTGGACCTTTAAAACTCAGTCATTACAAACTCGTGCTGTGCTGCCAAGCATCATTCTAGATTAGTCAACTAACCGATTAATCGATCCACAATCAAGCTGTCCTTTATCTGTTTTATATCATATTAAACTGAATATCTTTAGACATTTAGAGACATCACCTTTGACCTGGACTAGGATGGGCGTTTTTCACAATTTTCTAACATTTAAAAAATAATGGTGGGATTAATCGATAATGAAAATAATGGTTGCAGTAGTAGTTAGTTGCAGCCCTACATCATTCAAATCCCACAGAACTTAATATTAAATTCCAGTGGACATCCAAACTGAGGTTAAGCTATAGCTTAACATGTTTCAGAAGAAGTGAAAGAGAATGCGTGTCCCCTTTTCCTTTGCTTCTGTATCTGTGAGCATTAACTTACAATGAGGCGCCTTCCAAGGTCTCCCAGCACCAGGCTTTGTTATACAGATTCTCTGTTAGTCAAAAGTGATGTCACCTTAACCCAGCTGTGTGATGCTTTTATCCAGGGCACCATGTTTTTTAAATATTCTTTTAGGCTTTTGTGCCTTTTTTGTGTGGACAGGAAAGAGAGACGGGGATAACATGTAACAAAGAGCGACCATGTCAGCCAACCTGAGACCAAGACCAGAGAGTTTGTGTCTTCATTGATCAACTGTACTTGAATGTAAACACATGTTTTAAGCCATTTGCTGGAACGACTCATGCTGTTATTCTTTGGAGGACAATCTCATATCCCCACATACAACACAGACATACACACACATATGTAGTGTTCAGCTGGGTATTTTATTCGGGTTATTTTAGACACTGTTTAGGTGTTATAAGTCTGATAGGTGATAGCCAAATGTTTGCATGTACATTGTATGTATTGTATGACTTTTTGTATGATTTACCATCTAATGCATGAATTCTCTATATTTGGGCTTCTTGAATCTCTCTCTTGAATCTTAAATACACAACATGTCAACAACTTGCTTAACCTTGAGGCCTCAGTATGTCAAACGTGCTCCCCAGTTTTGAATACCTAATATTTTGATATTCTACTCTGATTGTAACATCTTGTCATCGCTAGCATTGATGAAATTACTGCACCATGCCAATAAACCATTTGGAAAATTTTAAATTAAAAGAAAACTGCACATTGGAAATATATAGCAAAGCATCCAGCAATCACTCCACAATACGGCACACATTTTGCACCCAAAAGTAACAATCCACGTTGTGTTTACATGTTGGCTTTGTCACCAGTTTACAGTCGATTGTTGTTTGTAAAATATCCCCTCAGCTGCAGGCGGTGCTGCTCCCTCATCTGTAGAGTCACAGAGGCTGTCTGGCGCGTAGCAGGGGAGAACACTGTATATCCAGTCCACTTGTGGGCTGCCAGACCCTGAACACACCCAGAGTAACTTGTTAACTGTTCACCGTTGGTGCCCTCCAGCCCAGCGGCTATGCTTTGCATGTCTCCAGCATCCCCGCCCACCCCACCCCACCCCCTCAGCTGTGGGTTGCCAGGTCCTCAGTCCCCCCAGATGCGGGTTGCCAGATCGTAGTAAGCCCATGCAGTGTGGAGGGGGTCTGAGATGCTGGCTGTGGCCCGGTGCCACGCTGGGCCCGGTTATTATCTCCAGATGACATCAGCATGAGCAGCAGATGCCTTTTTGGCCACAGGGGCCGAACAGAGAGAGAGACAGAAAGAGAGAGAGAGTGTGTGTGTGTGTGTGTGTGAGGCTGTGTGCATGCTGTTCTCGGCAGGATCAGGCTATTTATTACCTCCCCACTTATCAGGCCATCTCCCTCACTCAGCTGGGAAGGAGTGTCTGTTTCATTCCAAAACGACCATTTCTCCTCGTGATGATAATGTAATCATGCAAAGACATACACACATACGGAGATGAACCGTTTAATAATAGTAATCGTTATCTATTTGCTGTGGCAGTGATGCTAACACACACACGTGAAAAACGACATGATAATTAGCCTCATGAATAATTATGATGATACTAATTGATAGTAACAATCAGAGAAATAGCAATGAAAGGACACTGCTTGATGCAACACTGGAATACACTTTACATGACAATCATCTCAGGAACAGTGTGTATAATGCGAGTTACACTGGAGCACAGCACCAGAAGATACGGCAGTTAATGATGGTGATCAAGTTTGTTATCTGGGTCACCTGGCGTGTGTGTGTGGCCAACTGTGTGTGTGTCGTCCCGCTGAAAGCTGCTGGTTTATTTATGCCTGTGTTTTCTTTGAGGGACAGGCAGAAGAGGCAGGAGATTAAACTCATGGAAGCAAATCAAAGCAGAGGCAGACGATTTAGATTAAAGCGCCTGCACCTCACCAGGTTTAGCAAGTGCACGGCGGGTGTGTATATGTGTGTGCCCATACTTGTGTGTGCCTGTTAGGCTGTGCAAGGCAGCAGGCACCGCAGCCGTTCCCTGTCTATCACCTCAGTTATTTTACAGTCCTCCTTCCCCGCAGCTTATTATATACAGTCTATCCCTGCTCTGCACAGACCAATTTAATGGAGGGAAAAACGGGCATCAGGAAATGATATTTCTAATCAGACGACGGCAAAGGGCCCCTTTTATTAAAGTGGGGGTGCTCTCTCTTTCTGTCTCGCTGTCTGTGTTCAGAGCAGTCTACAAGGTTGATAATGGCCTCGGCCGGCCTGGTGTCATCATATTAAAGCACTGAGTGATTCCACACACACACACACACACACACACACACACACACACACACACACACTCATTCCCTTTCCTCCTCTCCAACCAATTCCCTCATATTCTTCCTCCTTCGCTCTTTTCTAGTGAAAATGGACACTTTTGTTGTTCTTTCTTTTATTGCTCGATACCGGTGTGTATTATACCTTTGAAATATATTGAATTCCCCAGAGTTCTCTGGGCCAAGCAATCGCACCTCATAAAAGCAGCTGTGGATTTGTAAAGCGGTAATGTGCTGGTGATCTCATGCACTGCGGCAGGTGGATGATGTGGCAGAGCAAACAGTGTGCACACCTGCAGAATATAGTGTTAGTATAGTGACAGAAACAGAATTGAATTACATTTTTTTAATGGAATTTTTTATACTTTATGCATAAAATGTACTGTACCTCAGTGCTTGTGAATGAGTGGTTGTAGTTTTTCACTCAGAATACAAACTGAGTTCAGATAATTGGTTTAGTAATGTGATCGTTTTCTTTTACATTCAGTCATAATTAAAATAGCTGTGACGTTTGTTCATTTTTTTTTTAAATTCCCTTTCCATTTTTTGTGGTTAAATAAACAAACAAATTACTGTAAGCTTTTAAAGCTGTTACTGTTATTACTGATCTTATCTGAAAGTGATTCAAATCATGTTTTGAAGGTCAGCCATCATCATGACAAGACAGTAGATTTGTCAAAGAGAAACATTTCTTCTCCAGCCACAGAAGGCAGTCTGAGCCTTTTAGCAAAACCTCCTGCTTAAGCTGCTGCTGCTTTGGGGAAAAGGATTTAATCCAACAAGAACATTGTAATTAGCCTGCTAAGACAAGACCTTCAAAATGCATATTCAAATATTTCTGCCAACCTTCAAATATGCATAGTGCTGGATTATGCCTCCATGGATTGTGCAGAAGTCCTCTTCATCCCAAATTACTACAGACAGTTTTTATTTAATATTTCAGTGGAGCCACACTGCAATATCTGAAACAAAACTGACAGCTGAACTAAAGGCCCAAAGGTTTCATTTTTCAGTCAAGTCTCACAGTGACTTGTTTGAAAGCAAGTAATAAAACTGGGATTCCCATTGTAGTTGGATCTCTACTTTGTGTGTTGTACAGCAGTGTGACACACTGGGTAAACTGTTCAGCAGCTGATGGGCTAATGGCCTTGACCTAGTCTTTTTATCAAATAGCAACACTGTAAGCATTAACAGCAAGTCCTTTACCTCTGCTGCTTTTTTTTATCTGCATCTCTTTTGTGGTGGTTATAAAGAGGTAAAAGGTAAATCAATGAGGAATAATGGCTTTAAACCTGACTCACCTCATCAGTGCACTTAATGAAAAGAGTCAGTGTATGTGAGAGGGTCCAGTGGCCATTCACAATGATATTCTATAGACTGTCAAAAGCAGTTATCTTATGCTACTTGTGGAGTCATTTTCTCTAGTAGAGGCAGCAGACAAGCACTTGTGTGTGTTTGTGTGTGTGTGTGTGTGTACACCCATATGCAGGAGCACATACAGTGAGTCTGTGGAAGAAGCAGAGTTGGTTTCAGTTGTAGCTGTGAATACAGATGGTGTCTGAACAGTGACAGACTAAACAGTTGCTCTGGGTTGCATCAGTTGTGTTTTTCTAACTCTGCGCCATATCATCACAGTAGAGCTAAATCAAACTTAACTTCTAATTATAGGCCACTGGTGGCTATGTGGGAGTTGTCCCAGAGATAGTCAGTGGTTAGTGTGGAAACAGAGAGGAAACAGAAAGTGTCACACAGGTAGCAAAGCCTGGCTGTTCAGCCTTTCTTTACTTTTCCACTCCTTTGTGTTTTATTTTTCAGTTGCATCAGCTGCAATATGCACACAGTTCCTGCTTTATAGCATCTACTAATAACTTCTGTCTCTCTTTCTCGCCCTCCAGAGGCCCCTGTGCTGTCCTGGAAGTTGACTGGTGACCACAGGTGGAAAACCAACAGTATGTTGTCACCCCAACTCAGACACCACCTCCAGGCTTGAGCTCAAGGTAAACAAGAATGACGCCAATACATACACACACACACATATACAAATACACAAAGTCACGCATAGTGGGTCTGCTGACATGCCTGGTAAGCTCATAAATTAAGTTTCTGACATTTGCGTCCACATTCACTGACACGCACATAGGCATTTGGACACAAAGCAAACATGTCATCCCAATTCATTAACACATACACTCATCCCCACTCTGACCTCTGAAACACACACAGAAGCAAAGCATATGTACAGCATGTGACAAGTGTACACAGTGGCCAGGACCATTCAGCCTGGATTCACAGGGCGTGGCTTTGTTTTTAGTTTTCTAAGCCAAAAAACATCCTCCTTGGGTGCAGTTTCGTTACTACTTTGAGTGTGCAACATTGTTTCTGTTAGCTGATTAGATGTTACTTCCTGAATGTCAACATAACTGTGCCAACCTGCTGGAAAAGAATGTCAACAGAAAGCTTAAAAGGCTACAAATCGATGCTCGGATTGACTGTTGTATAAAATATAAGGAAAAAGTGGAAGGTTAGTGGCATCATATAATATCATACATGCAGAATATAGAAGAATATTGTTCTTAAGAATAAAATAATAAAACATTCCCGGCCCTATCACTGTAATTGAAACTAATGCAAGTTTGTGACACACCCATGAGCAGATACCTCTGTACATTTTTTGTGTTCATTCTCTGCTGTTTAACTCACCCTGCCGTTCCGCCCTTCTAGCTATTCATTGAAGTTCATGACAGCATTAAGCTGGTTTGAATGCCATAAAAGACAATGGCTGTGAGTCAATGGCCTTGCCTGCCCAGCCCACAGCTGAGGTGGCCATTTTAATAGGTATTGACGGCAGGTTTTAGCCGCGTTCTCCCACCACGCTTAAAAGCCCATGTTCTACTGATTAGCTAATTAAAACCTAGAGTGAGGGCTATCGATCCAGGGGAAGGGCAGTCAGGAGGCATCTGTCCCTCAGATGGCCCCGGTACTCACTCCCCCCTTCCCACACACACAGCTCTTCAGTTAAGGCCTAAAAGCATTAGCAAGGCCTTTCACACTCCACTAGATCTATATATTGGTTTTGAGTAGAAGTTATCACTTCTATTTTAAGAACATTTGCTTGTGATTACCTGTTGAGGAGGTGATATTTTTCTGTGTGTGTGTGTGTGTGAGTGGTAAGAAGTGCCACAGCTCCAGCCTGTGTTCGATCGGTCCCCTGCCGGGCTCTCAGTAATGGTGGGTATTTATATACAGAACTATCAGACACCTGATGGAGGCAGATTACAGGCTTGTGGTTGGACAGGTAGCTATAGAGGTGTCAGCCCTCACTTTTACAGAATCAAGACTCTTCCCTTTTTCTGCCACCTCACACTAATACCATGATATCACCAGACTGGTTTGAGACAAGCTTATTTTTCCGATAAAGGATAGAAATAGATAAATACTGTGTGCTGTGTTAAAGTTAAGTGTTAAATCTCAGACAGGTGAAAAATCACAGAAACAATTGGTGTCACACACTGGGGGAGTTTTTGGAAATGGGTCACTGCAACAAAACAGAACAGATTAGTAGCAGATTAGTGAAAGAACAGTAAAATTAGATATGAAAAAGGTAAGGTAGATATGATTAGCGCTCATTTAATTCAAAGAAGGACTATTACTAGGATAATGTGTATTCTTCATTTTCTACGATGGTCAAAAGGGAAATGGTTCAATCACAGATGGAAACACTACATATCTTTTTTATATAGATACATATAGTTGATCCTATGATGTACATTTTCATAATGTTCTGTTCATGTATTTAGTTTCATTATGTAAGAAAGGCATCACTGATTTTGGATTCATCTTTGCATTGCAACTAAATGCAAACCTGTCAAGTTTGTTTTAAGTCAGTATTCAGTAAATTCATTAGGCCCATTTTCGTGTCTTGAAACCAATAAAAGTAGAAAAGTTCATAAACATGTTATGAGGCAGTTTGCACGATTTATGGAATTTACATAATTAGAAACTTTTAATTGTAAAAAAAAAAAAAACACGTTGTAGCAAACACAGACAAAAACAATTAATTAAGTATCATGGAAAAAATGGTGTGTTTGATATCCTGCCTGCATAACAGTGTGAGGTTAGCTGAGGTTGATGGACAGTGAATACTTCATTGGCACAGTTATGCAACTCATACACAAACACACCTGTGTGGAAAGTAGGCCGTGTTAGTTCCATAATCACACTCTTTCATAATGAGACTTATCTAACCACTGATCCCATCTTGGATAGGTTTTACACAGCAAAATAAACCGTGTGTGTGTGTGTGTGTGTGTGTGTGTGTGTGTGTGTGTGTGTGTGTGTGTGTGTGTGTGTGTGTGTGTGTGTGTGTTTGTGTGGCTCTGCACATTCAAGCGTTTCCCCTTACATTGCATTGAATATTTATACTAATGACCAACAGTTGAACAGAACAAAATGCTGTGTGTGTGTGAGAGAGAGAGAGAGAGAGAGAGAGTGCACAGTATATGCGTGGATGTGTTGATGCCTCCATGCATCTATCCAAACAATGTATATGTGTGCATAAAGACAGTGTGCGTCCAACGGCTTGGAGCGCACAGCGCCTTGCAGACTCACATTTCCACCTCTATATTCATTAGCCTCCCGCTCGTCTCTCCTGGGATGGAGGATTAGCCCGAGAAGGGAAATTAATGCTTTCTGGGTAGACGGCGTTCTTTCTGCCTGCAGCAGGAGGTCCATTGTCTGGTTTGATATCCGCGCAGGACACGGGACATCTGATCTGGCAGCCCTGACACACACGACACAACCGTTAGCACAGGGGGACCAGAGAGGAAGCTGAAACATGTTGACAGGAAGTGCTGCCGTTTCCATCTGGGGACTACTGTTTGATCAGAGGAGTAAAATAAGCTTGTGATTGACTTTTCTTGTTAAAAAAAGTGGTGGACAGGAATGAAGACTTTATTGGTTTCCTGTTGACAAGTAGGAACATGTCAACAGGAAGTTGATTTATTCTCGTGGTGTGAGTCATTAAGACGTGCTGGGAATGGATTTTACTTTGTAACGGGGAGGAGAGTCAGCAGTTTGACCTTTATTGGGTTGCAGGTTAGAGAGTAAACAATAGGAAATAGAATTTGACTTATAGAATATGCTGGAAGGGGATTGATTGGCATTAAAAGCATGTGTGTAAGACAAGGCAGCTCTATGCTCAGCCACTCTCAGACAGGAGGGGGAGTTGAGATTTTGATGCAATCAATGGCAGCGGGTATAAATGCAAAGAGGTTTTCATAATGCATTAGCAGCTTCTTGTATTATTCTGCTTCATTACTGAATAATGCTACATCAGGAAATAGATTTTTTTTCTAACCAATCTAAACCAAAAATTCTCTGGGACAAAATTACTCTCTGCAAATGGCGGCATTAAGCTTCAGAGGATGGAGCCCGTCTTTCACCATACTGCCCCGTTCCCCTCTCTTCTGTGTCCACAAAATCCATCAAGGGAATTTAAGTAGCTGTTAATTACTTCCCTGTCCCTATTGAAAAGAGGAAGAGAGCGGGAGAGAAATCAAGAGAGAGAGAGAGACTTTAAAAGAGCTAAAGCTTCGCTGCGGTGCAAATCCTCTCTGCCTAACAAAACCAAATCAATCTATAGCCCTCAGCCATCCACAAACCGCTCTACACTCACACATGTACACACACACACAGGAAGATGATCCTGTAAATCTGTGGTCTCCAGGGGCTGTTTGAGTGCTACTCCAGGGTTTTTTGGGAGGGGGTGACCACAGGGGTTCAGGGATTGAAGGAAAAGTGTAAATATCCCCAAATTGCAGCTAAAATGTAACATTAGGATTGGTAAGCCCCACTTTCGCCCATAATCTTCCACAGCACTAAACCATCGCACTAAATGACCTCTATTACAGAGCCAGAACCCATTAAGTCAATACAGGAGAGATTACCTGCGAAATAGAAGCGACTACCTGCTCTGACAGACATGGCCCCCAAAAGAAGCCCGGGGCAAAATTAGATTTGGGGCCGGGCGTGGCGTGTGCCTGCGGGCTAGAATTAGAGGATGTAGTATCGACCTCTGCTTGCTTGTTAGGAAGGAATGTGTGTACGGGGGCAGGAGAGTTGATCACAGTGCAAATGGCCGGGATCAAAACCAGGGCACTGTTGTGTTATTTAAGACCAAGTGAGATCCTTAAAGCTGAAGTAGAGCTGTGGCTGAGGTGGTCAGGTGGTTAGTGACGTCCTGTGTCACATGTTGGAGTCTAGCAGCAGTCAGTGGCTACATGTCCTGGTGAGACCCAGTTGTTGGTTAAAATCTGTCAAAAATGTAATCATACTGTCCCAGACAGTAAATGCTCCTTTATGACAACTATAGACTTAAACTATATCAGAATTAGACTGTGGGTGCTCAGCCTGCAGAGGGTTATTTGTGGCTATAAAAAGAAGGGTATTAAGCACAGTTTTGTTTTTAAACTGAGTCGATCATTAATGTCAAGTTTAGGTACAGGAAGTGTATTTATTCGATTAACTGATTTATAAAGGGTAGGTGACCTAAAAGAGAAAAAGATTACATTAAAATTATGAATCATTCTAATATGGACACATCAAATATTTTAGGAAATGGCAGCTAAGATTCTGGTCTTTATACTGATTTTACCCCATTTTGCATCATGTATCAAAAGCTAGAAATAATCGCTACTGTAACTAAAAGTTAAGAGTATTTAAAAATCATAATACAGTTAAATCCATAATAAGCCTTTGTGTTTTGAAGGGGTCAGCTCACCCACATTACAAACAATATATATTTTCATTTACCTTGAGTCGTGTCTGGCCATGTCAACAGCTTTGGTTTTGAGATATTTGTGGTATAGCTGAAGAATTTTGTTTGTGGTGCTCACAGCTTTGAAAAGTTACATTTTAAAAATTTACAACACTCAAACATTGTCAACAGTTGTCACTGGAACCAGCTTTTACTGAAGAAATGGTCGCTACAAACAGAGTTGACAGAGTGTTTTCTGGTGTAACAGTGACATGCAGCAGGGAGGCAGAAATCTCTGAGACAGATAGCTCAAAACTTCAGCCAAAACTACAGTATATAATATGCACGATACAGCTGGAAGCAAATGAAAATATATGTGTTCATAATTTAAGTGAGTAAACCCGTTAAAAACACGTCAGTCATTTCAATGCCAGTGTAATACAGTGCTCTAGTGTCATTGTCTGTAGTCCACATCCTCACCCGCTCACTGAAAACCTCCCAACATCCTAAAAATTCTCTAAATTCCCTTTTTGTCTCTCTCTCTTCTTCTCTCCAACAACTGTATTTTGTACCAAAGAGCCCAAAATCATTTCAGTACATTACTTCATGTTAGCTAGAAAAATAAGTTGGTTTTGTTTGTGTGTGTGTGTGTGTGTGTGTGTGTGTGTGTGTGTGTGTGTGTGTGTGTGTGTGTGTGTGTGTGTGTGTGTATTTTCCTGTTAGATGTTATTGAACTTGCATGTTTAGATTCATGCAGGCATATGTGTGTAAGGACAAAAAGTGAGGTGTGTGTGTGTGTGGGGTGTTTGTTGCCATAGCAGACATCCCGCAGGGAACGGATAGTGGTGGAGATGGAGGGAGGACGTTTTTAAGCACTTCAAAGTGGCCTCATTCCACACAGCTGAGCTCAGAGGTGTGTGTGTGTGTGTGTGTGTGTGTGTGTGTGTGTGTGTGTGTGTGTGTGTGTGTGTGTGTGTGTCTGTCTGTCTGTCTGTCTGTCTGTCTGTCTGTCTGTCTGTGTGTGTGTGTGTCTGTCTGTGTGTGTGTGTGTGTGTGTGTGTGTGTGTGTGTGTGTGTGTGCACGTGTGTGTGTGAGGTAAAGATGTACTGCTGTACCTGGCTTTGTTTATGCCCTCTTCCAATCTGGGCCTCTCTTGGGAATGAACTACAGAGAGTACTGTGTATGTGTGTGTGTGTGTGGTGTGTGTTGGAAGCTGTTTCAAGTGTGTACCAAAAAAAAGCTATGTGTCTCACACGCAGAGTGGAAGAGTGAGGGAAAGTGAAAAGATAGAGAGTGTCACAGTGACTGATGAGTTTCTGGTTTCATCCTCGGACGCTGTGAAAGTGAAATACACTTTCTATTGCTTTGTCTCCTCTTTCCCCGCAGGAGAAAATGGAAATAGCCAACATCGAACCGACACAGTCAATACCACTCTCCAGAAAAGGGCTGAGAGGGACGTTCTCCGCCGAAGAGCAAGAATGATGGAGGGAGGAGTGGGCGATAGCCGGAGTATGTCAGGTTTCATCTACCCTGTGTGACACGCAGCTCTCTGACAGCTCTGCTGCACTCGATCCAGTCTCAAAACTCTCTCTCTCATGCTCACACACACTTTTTTTTCTCTCCCCATGTCGCCCTCTCTTTCTTTCATGCACTAACCCTTCTGTCTTTTCCCTCTATTTCCAGTTCTCACACTCTATCTTCATCAGTCTCTCACCCCCTCTGGGCTGCCATTTTGCAGCATATGGCTCTCCCACACAAGTAATCACACATGCACTGCCATATGCGTTTGCTCATACACCCTCACATGCACTGTCTTTCCCTCTCCTCTCCTGTTTATGTGCTCCTCTTCCTTCTCTGTGTATCTTTATTAAAATAGCACCTAGCCAAGTCATTCGCATTTAAATGAGCTAATTATGAAAAAGTAGGATGGAGAAGAGGGGATGTGATTGGTAGGATGACTTTGACTCTGAGATTTCCACCGCTGTCGTTTGATATTTCTTCTGACCAATTGGCTGAAATCGCTGTCATTCAGGCATTCATAAGCTGTCAGTCACTGTGAAATGTAATTTCCCCACACATGATTTGATTTGTCAGCCTCTTCCAATTTCTCTGCCCACTTTTGTCTCAAACAAATGGAGCATTGAGCTACAGGCCCTGGTACAGTTTGGTCATCTGACCTTCAGGTGTTCCATTGTATGTGAAGCAGGGCATTGTGTCAGGCCTAAAACATGCTTAAAGTAACATCTAACATCTTGCACAGCGGGGTTTCCTGACATGTTTCCTCACAGAGGAGTTGCAAAATGTGAAACACATGTAATGCATATCACAAGGACAGTAAAAAACCCATGCTGAATACATGTTTTAGGCCTCAGTCATTACTGATTTAATTAAGGTTCAAAGTGTAGGCAAAGAGTAATTGTGGTCTTAATCTCAACAGAATAGGATTAATAATGTTACAATCCAGAAAAATGAGGATTAACATGGTGAGACCTTGAGGGGTGACATCTGGAGCTCACGGTACAGTTTAATAAGGTGCAGTAACCACTGGGATGTTTCAACAAACAGCATATATTTAGCAAAGAATACATGCTAAGGAATTCATGCACCCTTGGGGAAGAAATCAAATGTGCCTTTAATGCAGAGCATAAGTCAAGTAAATTTTTTTTTCAGTCAAAATTACAAACCAAAAATGTACCTCAAAGGGCTTTACAATTTGTACAGCATACAACGTCCTCTATTCTTAGACCCTCGTTTCTAAGACAACTGTTCACACCAGGAAACTAGAAGTATACAGTCATTATGTTAATGCAGAAGATACTGTATATTTGCACATATACGGATGGCTTATGTGCAGAGATATCCTTACAATAGATAAATATGGTACTGTTTCTTTACAAAAATAAGAAAAGAAAAGCAATTTTTTTTGTCGTCTGCATTTTCACAAATATGTTGTAGAAGCTGTGCATTTCCATTAACTAGAACATAAGGAGTACAACTATATCATTTAATTCAGGAATACAAAGATTTAGCTGACCTGCTGTAAAAGGAGGAGACATTTTCTGAATAATCTATAGAAATACAAAACAATGCATACAAGCTGATCTAAAATACGTTTTTTTCATTTTACATTAGACAGAAACTGCACAGTGTTCACAGTGCAGAGGAGTCACCTGTGTCTCTCCCACACAGACACATACAGTACATACATAATCATTAGTTCTCTCTCTCTCTAATCAGTGGAAGCTCTGCCTCGTTCTTTCCTTCTGTAATTACATCCCACGTACCGCATCAAGCGGCAGATTGAATCCTCATTGCTGCGCTAAACAAGTTTCAAGAGGAGAGATTGAGAGAGAGACGGAGAGAGGGATCTCACCCTCTTTAATGAATTCTGTCTGTCTCTCAGTCCTGTTGTCTCTCTGTCACTGTGTGTGTGTGTGTGTGTGTGTGTGACAGAATGGGGTTCTTCTATGACGGCTTGATCAAACAAACACACACACACACACTGACACATACACTCACGCCTGACGCCAAATGTGTTTGATCGCAGTATTGTTGGTTGTGTGTTTTTATTACCTTTGACAAAAATGCAGTCTTAATATCCTGAATAAATGTGAGCAGGTGCAGTTTTTGGAGGTATTTGTGGCTCATGAAATATGCTGACTAACGAGATGGTAATAAGCTCTACACAGGCACTGGCATTGCCAATAGAAGAGAATAGTCCCCATTCATAATCAGTAGTGCTGCGGCCTCGCTTCCATGTATACATATTGATCTTCCTGCACTCCTAAATGAACATGTGTGTCTCTTTGTTTTGTTTTTTTCTCCTCAGGCTCTGCTCTTCAGTGCTCCCTTGCTTGTTTCTCCTCTTCTGCGGGTTCGTGTGTTTATGTGTGTGATCGTGGCTATGGAGATGGATGCCAGGGGTGTGTGTGGGCGTGTGTTTATTTGCATTTACATGCAAACTTGTGCGCACACATTTTGTTGTGTTTCTTAGTGTTTGTGCCAAGAGACAACATATTTCTGTGTGTACGTGTGCTTCTTTGCATGAGTGTATACAGTTCATCTGTGCGTTACCTGCAATGATCAGTGCAACCTTTTTGTTGTGTTCTGTGTGTATGTGTGTGGGAGGTGGGGGTCTCAGGCGCTCCTGCGGTGAGATTGCATTGACCGCTGTGTTATTGCTCTTTAATTATCAATTACCGCAGCCCCCCATCCCAGGCAGAGTGGGGGGGTGGAGGCGTACGCGGAGGTGATAATGAATACAGAGCTGCCATTAGGACAGTAACCGGGCTCTCCGTCTGGGGCTGGGGAGCCAGCGAGGAGGAGGAGGGGAGCTGGCTGGTGTGCTAATGAAACAGGCTGCAGCTCAAGACAAAAGAAAAGCCACCATCCCTCCCTCTCCTTTTCTCTCTTCTCTTCTCTCCATCCCATCTTGATTCCATCATCATCTTTTTTATCTCTCTCATGTATTTTCTTGCTCACTTTGCAGCCCACGTCCGCCACAACCACCCCTATAGCCATAACGCACACACACACACACACACACACACACACACACATTCAAACACACTCACAAGGGACTGCGTTCTTGCAGACAAACAATGTCTGTGTTTACCAAGTGGGTCATCTTTGAAGCTGTCAGCTAATCAGTTTGAAAATGTGCCCGTTCTTTCACAGCATATCATTACTCGGAATATTTCACATCTTCTTTTGTTGTGCTGATCCTTTAATGGCCATTTTATTTTTTTAATATAATTGGTGCAAAAATGGGTAAAAAAAAAATGTTTTTATTTACATTTGAAGTAAATGTATATCCTATGGATGATTTTAGAGTTATGGTAAAAATCCCTTGATCTGAGTTTAATGTGTAAGCAGGCCTCCATATTGGCTCTGTGTGCTCGCCCGTTGGTTATTCCAGGTGTAATAGGTTGGTGGGCGTCCTGTTGATTTCTGGGGAAATTGAAGGTGGCTGTTAATGAGGCTGTTAGTCAGTCCTAACACCTTCCTGCCACAATACTCCAGCTTTTTAATGTCTTATTTATAACAAGAGAGGCAGTACTAAAGTTACCTGAAATATTAGCTGTGTTTGAAGTTAACATCCTCATAAAACACATTTCATATTTTTTATAAAAGACACATTTATAGATTGATAGAAGATATTTTTGTGATTGAGCTGCATTTGCAAATTTTTATCTTATTTTTTAAATAAACAGCCTCAGCTGTTAAAAATAAGAGTCTTTGGATTATCCTCAGGACATCACAGTCAATAAATCTCTGTGCCTGCCTACTGTGCCTATAAAGAGATGCCACATGACATTATGTCAGCAGCACTCACATGTAAATAGCCTGTTTTATTTGGCTGACATGTAAATGCCATCATAGCAGCAGTGTAAAGCACAACGGGACAGATAGTGAGGGGCTTCCCTTTGTCCTTTCACTACATGACAGATGAGAGCTGCTCCTAAAATGCAGCCAGCAATCACATCTTATTTTTCCCTTTTAAGAGATGAGACACATTAAATGTCTCCTGGAGGGGAAATGTGAAAAATAAACAGAAATAAGCGTGGCCTCTGCACCAGCATACAAGTAAATTACTGAATTAGAAACAGCCACGGGGCAATAGGATGGCACATTTTCATGTAGTGGCAGACATGAAGAAGCTCTGCTAAATGTTTGTTTTCATTCACTGTGCAAATTGAAACGTGGTGTAGGAAACGTGACCAAGAGGTAGCCGCACTCTGCTTTGTCACATGTGCGTCAACCTGACCAGGCACCGTGCCAGGCCGAGACAAGCTGCTCCACCTGTTGTAAATGTTCTCTGGTGCAGTGATACAGTGGCAGATAAAGAGGTGGGTAAACCCTGACCTCCAGTCAGGAAGCCTTGTCAGACAAAACCACTACCTAAAGACATAAAAGTCAGTTACAATTAGATTAGTTCTTATGTATATCCATGTCCTTGGGACTTGGAATAAAGTCCTGTTTTATTTCAATAGTATGTATTCACAGTTGGAGTCTCAAAAGGCTTCACAGCTTCCACAATATGAAGCACTAAATGACAAAGACATTCCCCAAGAATAAATGAGCTCTCTGGGTAAAGTGGGTTAAGGTGGTTTTACCCTTCAATATGTATTAGCTGAATTAATTTCTAGTATCTTTGTCAGTTTGATATTCAGAATAATAGTTCGTCCAGCACTCACAGCTTTTGCCCATTAATTTTCCCCAAACTAATGCTTCATTTGGTGGACAAAACACAGGGTTCTCGTCCATGACTTTACATCTATTCAGACTTTTCTAACTGCACAATTTCAAAAGGAATAAATGCACCTCCAGCTTTAGAGAGCTCAGGTTTTATTTAGATTGGAGTTTTAGATTGAACTCCACTCAAGGCTACAGAGGAAGAGATATAAAGCTTATTAAATAATTTTACCAATGTCTCCTTTAACTCAAAAAAGAGTCATTGGCCAAGTCTGGCCCACCTCCAGAGGACCAGTCATAGTATCCACAGCAAGAATCCTATTGAGTGCGAATGTAAGCAAAACTACTGGGCCTGATAACATCCCTGGCTGTGTACTATGAACATGTGCCTACAGCTGGCCAATGTCATTACCAACAGTTTGAACATATCACTGCCACAGGAAAGTGTTCCCACCTGCTTTAAGACAGCCACCATTGTCCCTGTATCTAAAAAGTCTGCAGTTTCTAGTCTAAATGACTAAACAACCCCAGACAATATACCAGCCACCCTGGACCCTCAACAGTTTGGATTCAGAGCCAACAGCTCCACAGAGGATGCCATCTCCACCGCCCTCCACTCAGTCTTCACACATCTGGAAAACAGCAACACCTACATCAGAATGCTGTTTGTTGATTTGAGCTCAGCATTCAACACAATGTCCCTAAGCGGCTACCTCCTGGGCTGTAAATGAAGCCAACGCAATTGCCAACCACTGTAGGTCCTCGAATGGCCACTTGAGGCTGGCTCCAGAAGAGTCTATCTCCATAAACCCCCGTGTTAAAATGCTGAACTTCACAGCAGAAATAAAAGTTTGTAGCCTGGTAAACATTATGAATGATGAATTTTTATATAACTTGCTTGTTTAAATTGTATCAAGGCTAAAACTTATGCATAAATAACGGCGCGACAGCTGGCTTTGAGTGACAGGTCGTCATGTCCATGTCTTTGCCCATTTTTGGATTATCCAGGAGCCGTCAGAGTCAGGCACTGCCAAGGGGCCGACGGCCAAAGCCACCACACTGAGCATTTCACAATGTCTCTTCAGAAACCTATGGATGACAGCACAGAGACTATGTCTATGTTTTATGCAGTCTATGAATTACAACCATAAAACTGAGCTTAGCACTCTGGGCCTGCGTACAACACTCTGGATATTGGACTTCCTCACAAAGAGACCACAGACAGTTTGGATGGGTGTTTACACCTCCTCAACTCAGGGCTGTGTGCTCAGCCCCCTCCTGTTCACACTGTACTATGACTGCAACCCCTAACATGGTTACAACTCTGTCAACAACACAACACTACCATCAACATCATCCAGCCGGATTTCAAACAACAATGAGACTTCATATCTTGAGGAAAACAACCATGCAGAGTGGTGCTCAGAGCCCAGAAGATCATCTACACAGCATCACTGATAATGGTGAGGTGAGGTGACTGCGCAGTGCCCAAAGGATACAAAAAGACAGTACCCACCCCACCCACAACCTCTTCACCATCCTGTCGTCTGGCAAGAGATACAGAAGTATCCACTTCTATATCACCAGATTTTAGAACAGCTTTTTTCCTCAGGCTGTGAGACTCCTAAACTCATCCTCTGCACTCCTCTGTAGATAAATGACTCTCTCATAAGTCTTTTTTCACATGGAACTTTCTGTTATGCTGGTTTTGCACATTACTGTAACTAGTTTTTGCACTACCTTTATTCCCACTAAAATGTTTCATTTGTACTGTAGCTTATATTATTCATATGACACTGATACTGCACATACTGTTCATATTTTACATGGTAACTGTATCTTATATCTTCAAGGAAATATTTACTTTTTAGTCCTTCCTTTAGTGCTACTTATACATATACTTTCCTCTATTTTATTGCATATTCTATTTAAATATTTAATTGTTTGTTCATTTTCTGTGTGTGTAACCTGGAGTAGTGTAAAATTACCTTTCATTGTGCAATCCTGTGTTGTATAATGACAATAAAGCTGAACCTTTTGCATTGATATTTCAATTTTCATCTAAACCTTGCAATTGTTTAAGATTACATATTTAAAGTAGACTTCAGAATTTATTATCTTATTTTTGCTCTTTTAGACATTTTGTTTGTTTGGTCATAGAATACTTAAAGAAATGTTTTATTGCAGCTGTAAAACAATTATAGATCATTTGAAATAGAAAACATTGGCATTGAATGGCTACTATTAAATGATTTTGTCAGTAGTTTATTGGTGGAGAAACAATATCAAATGCACTTCTGCACACTTAAAGGCCCTGAATTACAATTGTCTTTCTTTAAAAAGCTTTAGACAATGTGGAGAGCCTTTTGTTAGTGTATCCGTTGC